TTTGAAAAATTACGTTGCCAGCACAGATCAAGACTTGGCTCTTTCTGTCTGGAACAGTATGAGGAGGACATCTTTGGGGTTCCTCCCTGCGTCTCCTCAGTCACTGCCTAGCCCATCATTTAAAGGAGGCAGTGGAGATTCTATGCCCCATTTGCTGGGGTAGGTCCCAGAGGCCTCAGAGGAAGCCTGGCCTCGCAGTTGGATAAGGCTGGTTAAATACTAGCAACAAAACGGACTACTATATGTGCAAGGAACAGAAAGTCTATGCACCCCGGCTGGGCGCGGTGGCTCAAGCCTGTAATCCCAGCACTTTGGGAGGCCGAGACGGGCGGATCACGAGGTCAGGAGATCGAGACCATCCTGGCTAACCCGGTGAAACCCCGTCTCTACTAAAAAATACAAAAAACTAGCCGGGCGAGGTGGCGGGCGCCTGTAGTCCCAGCTACTCGGGAGGCTGAGGCAGGAGAATGGCGTAAACCCGGGAGGCGGAGCTTGCAGTGAGCTGAGATCCGGCCACTGCACCCCAGCCTGGGCGACAGTGCGAGACTCCATCTCAAAAAAAAAAAAAAAAGAAAGTCTATGCACCCCATTTTCAGGGGAGAGAGAGGTCAGGCTGGGTTTTGGTGCAACCTTTCTGGTTATCTTTCTGCCAGAATCTTCCCCAGTGAGCTCTTCCCCACGTGCACTGCATGTGGCGATGCTGGGCAGAGGCAAAGCGATAAAGATGGTGGGAAACCTGCTGCTGCTTCAGGGGATCGGACCCCAGAGAAACAAGCCGACATGAAGCTTCTGGGCTGCTTCTGCCACTGACGCAGGGTGGACGTCATAGCTAAATCAGGTGAGGCTGCTCTGCTTGAGCACTGGGGTGGTCCTGGGCAGGAGTCACGGTGGAGATCAACAGGACACCCTGGCGACTGTAGGCTGCCTTGTTTCAGCAGCAGAAGGGTCTCTGTCCCTCTCTGAGGCCACGTTTCTATGAGGACTCTTGGAACCCTCTCTTCTCTGCTTACGTGGCTTCTCCCTTTTCTCTCCCAAAGTTTTAACCCCCAATCCATTCTCTCTTGTCATTTGCAATTAAAAAGACAAGATTGACCGGCTCACACCTGTAATCCCAGCACTTAGGGAGGCCGAGACAGACAGATCACTTGAGGTCAGGAGTTCAAGACCAGCCTAGCCAACATGGTGAAACCCCGTCTCTACTAAAAATACAGAAAAATTAGCTGGGTGTGGTGGCGGGCGCCTGTAATCCCAGCTACTCGGGAGACTGAGGCAGGAGAATCGCTTGAACCCGGGAGGCGGAGGTTGCAGTGAGCTGAGATCGTACCACTGCACTCCAGCCTGGGCAACAGAGAGGGACTCCGTCTCAAAAAAAAAAAAAAAAAAAAAAAAAAAACAGCAGCAGCAGCAGAGGCATGGGGTCTCATGGGGTTTCAGTGAGTTGCCCCGCGTCAGGCGGCTGATAAGTGGTAGAGTTGGGTGTGGTAGGGGCAGCCCAACAACCTGTTCAAAGAGCTTGAGGCACGTTCCTCTTCTGCTGTCACCACCTGTCCTTCTCCCTGGTGCTGCAAAGCATCCTACAGTTTGTGTGCACTGCCTCCCCACCTCCCCACACTCCCTCCTCATCTCACTCTGCCTGGCTCGTGTCTCCACCATCCCCTCTCATGGTTCCTCACGAGGCTGCCCCTGACCTCCATCTTCCCCAGGGCAGTAGGGAATCCCCCCATGTCCCCTCCCCTGGCCTCTGGCATGGCTTGACACAGAGCAGCACCCTCTCTCAAAGTGCTTCTTCTCCAGGCCTTCCAGGCCCACAGCCGGCCCATATGCTCCTCTTGCAATGGCTACAGCCTCCGCCTCCTGTGCTGCCTCCTCCTCCTGTTCTCTAATTGTCCTGAGTCTTTCCATCACTTCTCTCTCCACACTCTGATCGAAGGCTCCTCTACCCCAGGGCTTTAAGAACCACACACATGCTACTGACTCTCACCTTTGACCTTCTGCTGATCTTCCAGCCGAGCTTCAGACTCATATGCACTCCCGGGCTATGTGCTGTCTTGGCGCCCAACAGGTCTCAAACTTGACATGTCTAAAACAGAAGACTTGCCTGTAGTCCCAACTACTTGGGAGGCTGGGGCAGGAGACTCGCTTGAACCCAGGAGGTGGAAGTTGCAGGGAGCTGAGATCACGCCACTGTACTGTACCCTGGGTGACAGAGTGAGACTCTGTCTCAATAAATAAACAAATAAATAGAACAGAAGACTTGCTTCCCTCCCACTCCAAACTCATTTATTCCCCAGTCTCCTCCGTCTTACTAAGTGAAACCACTCTACCCTGTTGCTCAGGACAAAAACCTCACCCTGAACTCTTTGCTTTTCCTTAACATCTCACAATGAATCTATTAGTAAGTCCTCTCTATTTTTATTTTTTCCCCGAGATGGAGTCTCACTCTGTCGCCCAGGCTGGAGTGCGGTGGTGCGATCTCGGCTCACTGCAAGCTCTGCCTCCCAGGTTCACACCATTCTCCTGCCTCAGCCTCCCGGCTAGCTGGGACTACAGGCGCCCACCACCACGCCTGGCTAATATTTTGTATTTTGTTTAGTAGAGACGGAGTTTCACCACGTTAGCCAGAATGGTCACGATCTCCTGACCTCGTGATCCGCCTGCCTTGGCCTCCCAAAGTGCTGGGATTACAGGTGGGAGCCACCACGCCCAGCCAGTCCTCTCCACTTTTTTTACATTCAAAACACATTTCCCAGTGGACAACTACTAACTACCTCTACTTCCTCCACCCAGATCTTGGCCACCCTCCTCTCTTCCATGGACTAAAACCCCTATCTAGTCTTCCTATCACCATTCTTGGCCCCTTCTAGCCCATCCTGTACAAAGCAGCCCAAGAGTGCTTTAGCCCTTTCTAAAGTACATGCCACATCACAGCACTCTTCCCCTTAAAAAACCCAACAGAATCCAAACCCCTTCCGGTGGCCTGCAGCGACAGAGCTGGCCCTGCCGGCGTTTGCGACTCTTCTCCCTCCTCTCCCTTGGTCTCTCTGGCACTGTCCTATGGGCCTTCTTTTTGTCCCCTGAACACACCAAGCTCTTTTCTGACTCTGAGCCCTTCCACTCGATGGTCCCTCTTCTCAGAACACAGCAGCCCCCTCACCTTTCAGGCTGCAACTCTGACACCTGCTCAGTCAGGCCTGCCCTAACCTTGTGAGCTAAAGGAGCCCCACATCACTCTCTGGCTGCACTTTTGTTCTGTTTTGTTTTTGAAACAGGGTCTCACTCTATCACCCAGGCTAGACTGCAGTGGTGTGATCATAGCTCACGACAGCCTCAAACTCCAGGCCTCAAGTGATCCTCCCTCCTGGACCTCCCAAAGCTCTGGGATTATAGGTGTGAGCCACTATGCCTGGCTTCTATGTGCATTTTGTGTTCAGTGTATACTTATGAGTACATAAATTATCTTGGCTAGTTGTCATTTCTGTTGGCTGTCTCCAGCCACCCCCGAAGCCTTTCATCTCCAGCTCCCAGAGCTGGGGACTTGTCTTGTTCACTGCCAGAGTCCCAATGCCGAGAGCTCACGTGGCATGCAGCAGGCACTGGCTATGGGTGGAGGTCTCCAGCTCTGCTCCAGCTCCTGTCCCACATGGTGAGTAGCCTTCAGAAAAGGAAGTCCCAGAAAAGTGGAGGCTGGGGCTTTGTTCGGCCTTTCCCTGCCCCTAGGCTTGTGTTCAGCCCGTGGCCGTGTGCCCCTTCCCGGCTTTGCCCCTGATTTGCTCAGTGTGGGTGAGCCATAGCCGGTTTGGTGCTGAGTGGGCAGGGCGGGGCCCACATGTCTGTGAGACACAGGCCATAGTTCAGATTGATGGCATCGAGTCTTCATGACTTCAGCTGCACTTAGTTAAACATGGACCAGCCCACTGGAACCTTGTGGGCAGTAGTCTGATTTCTGCTCTCATTTCTGCTCTCTTCCAAGCTTCAATTAAGGGAGCAACAAAAGATCTCTATCATGAGCCATGTGTGATGATCTCATCTGCTAAGACAAATATTTTTTTTCTGGTTATATTTATAGAACACTCTCTTGTTTCCTTGAACAACCCTAGCTGGCATTATCTTGTTTACCTTCTCTTCATCTAGATTTGCATTTGTAGGGGGGCAGCTTTTATCTGCTGCTCGTAGCTGTGTGGGATTTCCAGTTCCTCTGTTTTTCTTCTTTTAGCTTTCATCTGTGAGCTCTTTTAAAATCAAGCAGTTAACTTACAGTTACAAGGCAGTAATTAATATTATAAGAAAACAGACAACACTGGCTCCAGCTAAGCACACCGCGGTAATTTTTCTTAGGAGTGTCTTGCGGCCTTGCAGGGGAGGATGGAACTTGGTATTCCTTTCCCCTTTCTGCCAGTCATGTGCTTCCTGATGCCAGGCCTCCCTCCAGCCCTGCCATCCCAGGGAAACTAGTCCAGACCGTCCCCACAGATCTCCGGACTGACACCTGACTACCTTTGGGGGCATCTGACCCTGCCTACGGTCCCACAGTGACTCACACTGAAACTAAGATGCACAGTTGGAGTAGGAACCTGCTGGCCCAGCAAGAGAATCTCTTCTTCGGGGGCCCATTGAGCTAGGCTGTGTCAGGTGAGGAGAATGGGGACGCTGCACACTGAGGAGAGACCGTCGAGGGGCTGAATCTGCTCCTGCAGTCTGGGAATGGCTGTGGGCTCAAAGAGGCGTAGAGATGCGGCAGCCAAGCAAGGCAGCACTGTGCCGGCTGTGTCTTTGGTGCTCCTCAACTTCTTCTTTTTTCTTTTTTAGACAGGGTCTCGCTCTGTCACCCAGGCTAGAGTGCAGTGGTATGATAATAGCTCACTGCGGTCCTGAATTCCCAGGCTAAGAGTCTCCCACCTCAGCCTCCTGAGGAGCTGGGGCTACAGGTGTGGGTCATCATGCCTGGCTACTTTTTAAAATTTTTTTGTAGAAACAGGGTCTTGCTTTGTTGCCCAGGCTGGTCTTGAACTCCTGGCCTCAAGTGATCCTCCTGCCTCGGCCTTTCAAAGTGCTGGGATTACAAGCATGAACCACCTCTCCCAGCCTAAGTTCACTTTTGCAAAAGATGGTTATGGGTGCTTAACGGATCCAGGTAGAGACCAAAGTGCCTATGGGGTGCATATGTGGAGAAAGAGGAAGAGCTGTTTGTCATTTAGATGCTCTGTCTGTGCTTCCCCCTGGGCAGAAGCAGCAGCACTTGAGCCCCACAGTGCTCGCCTTCCTCTGGGGACACACAGTGTAGTTGCGTGTGCCTGAGACACACTCAAATGAGCATCACGAGCAAGGCTGAAGGCCCATGACGTCATCCTCCCACTGTTCTTGGCTTTAACCAGAAACTTACTGGTGACTCATGTCCAGTTTTGGCTTTAAAGGTAAAAGAGACTGGGAGCAATTGGATACAGTCCATATAAGAACAAATAAAATGAATACTTGGAAAATAGGTCCTATGCAGAATGCAATTAGGACTACTTAAATTAGACTACAGCAAGCAGATGGAAGAGGTTATTTATATGAGGAATAGTGATAAACGCTTTTCATGCCTTTTTGGATGTAAATGGGATAGAAATGACATTCATGCTTTATTTATTTCTCTCTACTGAGAACCAAATAAAAGAAACTGGGCTTGATTTGCAACTGCAGAGATGTAGGGTGGATATAAGGCATTATTTCCATGTGTTGTTAGACACTGGTCTTTTGGGGTACTTGTTTTTGTTTCTTTTTCTAAAAAATGTGAAAAAGCAAGGCACTTCAAGGATAGCTTTGCTGCAGTGGAGCTAGTTAATATTTTCTAAGTACCTGAGAACTAGGATCTTGGTAGAATCCCACAGAAGCCGGAAAATACATATTCCCTGTTTTCTGAAAGGTTCTGATATTAGGATTAGCTGTTCTAATTCTTTTTATTCCTAAAGGTTAAATGCAGTCGGGTAGAGCAAGTGGAAGGAAGAGGTTGAGTGCGTGTCCTGGCTCTGACATTCACTAACTCTCTGACCTTGGGTGAACATACGCGCCTCATTTACAATGTGGTAATGATGATAGCTTTCCTTCTTAACTCACAGGTCATTAAGTGTGTTAAACAGCATCATAAATATGACAGCGGGCTACAAACCGTTGAGTGCTATACAAAGACAGAAACTATTCTTAATTTGGATAAAGCATCCTTGATCAAATGTGTTTCCAGCTGAAAGTCTTGATGGAACTTGATTCCCAGGTTGGAATTTCAAAATCTGTGCAGTCCACACCCATCCGAACAACCTCCTGTCCACCCACCCACTCGCCTCTCAGAGAATGTCTATCTGTGGTAGGCAGTGTAACAGGCATGGCGATGCCACGATGAATCTCACACAGTGCCTGGCTGTGTGGGAAAGCAGATGACAGTCTGGTCAGGGCGGAGAGAGAAGGAAACAGGTCATTACAGTGCAGAGCAGTGAGCCCTCTGATCTGGCCAGGCATAGGTACTGCGGGACCTCACCTGAGGGCCCCAGATCCAGCCTGGTGAGGACAGAGGGAGACTCCCGGAAGTGATGGCCAACCCAGTCTTGAGTGATAGAAGTTAGCCAAGTGAAGAAGGAATGGGATGGGGAGGACCCTAGCACCCAGAAGCAAAGTGAAAGCTCAGTGCACTGCAAGACCTGCTGATAAAGTTAAAGCTTACACGTTGCCCATGCAGGAGGACAGCGGAGAAGGGAGGCGTATCAACCAGGAGCCGCTCCGCACCCCAGCTTATCTGCCTTGTTAAGGAGTTTGGACTTTATCTTGAGGTCAATAGAGAGCCTCTGAGAGGTTTTAAATAGGGAGTGTTAAGATCGGATTGAAACGTCAGAGATGGCACTCCTAATGTGAAGTTGAGGATGAGCTGGAGTGGGCAGGACTCTGGGCAGGAAGACCAGTGAGACGACTGCTGCAGCAATTTCGGGAGGAATGGAGGTGGCCTCACTAGGAGAGGGTAGATTGGTCAAAAGTTTCAGGGATGCAACCAGACAGAAACATTGCTACAGAAGGAATAAAAGGAGTGAGAAAGTTGGAAAGATAGGACGTTGACGTCAGAGAGTGGAAGATAAAGTAGTTCCTGATGATGGCTGGGACCAGGGTGTAGCCTTCAGAATGGGAGCTGAACATGAGTGGAGACGAAAGTCACCTGACCTGAGGTCAAGGATGTGGGAGGTTTCTCTCAGGGCTTTAAAAAGTGTGGTAGAGGCCGGGTGCGGTGGCTCACGCCTGTAATCCCAGCACTTTCGGAGGCCGAGGCGGGCAGATCATGAGGTCAGGCGATCGAGACCATCCTGGCTAACACAGTGAAACCCCGTCTCTATTAAAAAATACAAAAAATTAGCCCGGCGTCGTGGTGGGCGCCTGTAGTCCCAGTTACTCGGGAGGCTGAGGCAGGAGAATGGTGTGAACCCGGGAGGCGGAGTTTGCAGTGAGCTAAGATCCCACCACTGCACTCCAGCCTTGGAGATGGAGTGAGAGTCCGTCCCAAAAAAAAAAAAAAAAAAAAAAAAACAAGTGGTAGACTACACATAACATAAAATTAACCATCTAACCATTTTTTTTTTTTTAAAGACGGAGTCTCGCTCTGTTCGCCCCAGGCTGGAGTGCAGTGGCGGATCCACTAACCGCAAGCTCCACCTCCCCGGTTTATGCCATTCTCCTGCCTCAGCCTCCCGAGCAGCGGAGACTGCAGGCGTCTGCCACCACGCCCAGCTAGTTTTTTGTATTTTTAAGTAGAGACGGGGTTTCACCGTCTTAGCCAGGATGGTCTCAATCTCCTGACCTCGTGATCTGCCCATCTCGGCCTCCCAAAGTGCTGGGATTACAGGCTTGAGCCACTGCGCCCGGCCCATCTTAACCATTTTTAAGTGTATTAAGTACATTGTATGAAGAACATTAAGTGTGTTAAGTGGCATTAAGTACATTCACATGGTTGTACCACCATCACCACCACCCAGCCACAGAACTCTTTCCATCTCGCAAAACAGAAACTCTGTACTCATTAAACCACAACTCCCCATCCCTCCCCCTCTACCTTGGCCAGCCCGTGGCAACCACCATTCTCCGGATTTCTGGCAGCCACCATTCTCTGGATTTCTGTCTCTATAAATTTCACCATTCTAAGAACCTCATGAAAGTAGAACCATACAATATTTGTCCTTTCGTGACTTGCTTATTTCACTTAGCACAAATGTCCCCAACGTTCAACCGTTTTGTAGCATGTATCAGAATTTCCTTCCTTTGTAAGGCTGAATAACATTCCATTGTATATACTCCTTTCTCTTTTAGACTTTTGATTACGGCCCACAACTAGAAACATAGTTTACACCGTGACCTATTAGAGATGAAGATATTATGTCATGGAAATAACCTATTATTAGCATATGTTTTATATCATATATGTAATTAAAATAAATATTTTACCCCCAAACCACCTTTCCTACATGTGAAGTACTCTAATATTTTCTTTCTACTCCGTTTCTTTAGAAAAAGATTGCTGACCACAATCCTCAAAATCAATTTCATGACTCATTAATGGGTTGTGATTCCGAGTTTGTAAATGACTGGTCTGTTTGGACACTGAAGTTACTCAGGACGATGGCAAGACTTGGAGTGGAGTGGTGCCAAAGTCTTTAATGAATATGGAGGAGCAAAGACACAGCTCCATGCATCTTTCCTCGTGAATGGCCTGTGATTTCAGCACAGTCTATTAGGTAAAGGTCCAGACTATCAGTTTACTTCTGGTGTAAACAGGATAATTCACGGATTTGCTGTTTTTTCCCCAGTGGTCTCCAGCCGGCATGGGTCTTTAATTTATTCACTGCCAGTGACCATTCCCCTCCCTTTTTTCTCTCCTAGGGAAGAACTAAGTAAACTGCCCTTCTTCACATACCCCAGCCCCACAGTCTGATCTGGCAAAGGGGCAGGGATGCGGGAACCTCAGCAGCAGGTGACTGTGGCCTCCAGACTCTGCCATGCTTCCAAAAGCTCCAGCCATCTCACGGTTGCAAGAATCTCCCAGAGGGAGAGGCCATGTCCAAAGCGACGGTGGGTGGGGTTCAGCCTCCCAGACTAAGGCTGGGGATGTCCCTTGCCTTGCCCAGAGGAGAGAGCAGGGTGGGAGGCACTGAGGGCAAGGGTCAGGGCTCCCACAGAGCTAGTGTGTGGGAGGAGAACGGGGGCACCTGGTTGTCCTGCCCGTCTAAGAAAGTCAAAGGGTTTCTCCGTTGTCTCCCTGAGTCATTACACCCCCAGCTATTTTTGTTAAACATTAACACAAAGTGTCAGGAGAGCTTCATCATTTTTAATGAGCTAATCTCTGTGGCATCCCCATAGAATGAGGTCAGAACAATCACCATCTCAGTAGCAAGGAAAAAAACAGGCAGAGATGGGAAGGGAAATTGAAGGGAAATCCATATTTCATCAGGCATTTACTGACACCCATTCTGCACTGCACTGATGTTGCAATGTACGACGCAAACACGACAGTCTCTGCCTTTTTTTTTTTTTTTTTGAGACGAGGTCTCACTCTGTTGTCCAGGCTGGAGTGGTGTGGAGTAGTTCAATAATAGGTACAGCCTCCATCTCCTGGGCTCAAGTGATCCTCCCACCTCAGTCTCTTGAGTAGCTAGGACTACAGGTGCCCGCTACCATGCCCAACTAATTTTTGTACTCTTTTTGGTAGAGACAGAGTTCTGCCATGTTTCCCAGGCTGGTCTTGAACTCCTGGGCTCAAGTGTCCTACCTGCCTTGACCTCTGAAAGTGCTGGGATTATAGGCATGAACCACCATGCCCGGCTGGTCTCTGCTTTTTGAATGTTGACCTTAGATGTGGGGTAGGGATGATCAGACCAAGTATTCTGAATTAAGGACTCGGAATTTGCAAAGTCCAGTGATAAGAAAGAACTTGACTTGTTTTATTTATTTATTTATTTAGAGACAGAGTTTCACCTTGTTGCCCAGGTTGGAGTGCAATGGCGCGATCTCGGCTGACTGCAACCTCCGCCTCCCAGGTTGAAGCGATTCTCCTGCCTCAGCCTCCCAAGTAGCTGGGATTACAGACGTCCACCACCACGTCCGGCTAATTGTTGTATTTTCAGTAGAGACGGGTTTCACCATATTGGCCAGGCTGGTCTCAAACTCCTGACCTGGTGATCCACTCACCTCGGCCTCCCAAAGTGCTGGGATTACGGGCGTGAGCCACCTCGCCTGGCCGACTTGTTTAGAAAAGTGGAACTGAGGTTAATATCAGGAGTTCAGAGTTCAAGAGTGGACAGTCAGGAAGGACTGATCTTGTCAAGATTTTGATGTGGCTGGATGATTTGATCAACAGATTACAGAGAGCCCTAGGGCACTGCAATGCTTAGGCTGGGCACTTGAGTGCCAGTACCTCACTATAGAACACACTGAGCTGGACAGTCAATGACACAAGAGCTTAAGGATTTTATAAAACATGACTACATACGGCACTTCATATTAGTCAATGTTCTTTCACAGCAATGATTGCATTTTATCCTTGTAACCCAGCAAGGTCAGTAGAGTGGGCATTTCCTTATACTAATACCTCTGTTCTACACCACCCCACACCCTTTTCCTTGATAAAGATTCTGGGGATTGGAGAGGAAGTAACTTGTTCTGCACTAACTGGAAAAAGAAGCTAGACATTCTGACCCAGCCTAGGGCTCTCTCCACTACTCCAGGCGCCTCTTTAGCTCGACTCTCCCTCCAACTCTGCTTTTTCTGCACAGCCCAGTGAGTTCTTGCTTGCTAAAAGAACCTGGCCCAGCCAGGAAAAAGGATACATATGTTGTGTCTTCACATATGTTGTGTCTTCACATATGTTGGTCTTCACATATGTTGGTCTTCAGAGGCAGCACTTGTGTGCCACCAACGTAAATCTGATAGGCACTGAGATCTGAGTCTTTCCTTTTATTCTGGGAAGGGAAGAGTGGAGCTTAGGCCAGACCGTCCCTGCCACCGGCCAACTCACTGAATCGGTTCCTCGGGGAGGAGCACTGGGAGATGGAGTGATGTGTCATAGTTGAGTTGATGTCACATTTCTGGGTTAGGATCTGGCCCTGCCATTTACTAGCTGGTAGTGTCAGGCAAATTTCTTAACTTTTCTGAGCTTCAGTCTAATGGCAGTAGCCAGGATTATTGTTAAGAGTAAGCCTGGACCGTAAGCTTCATTCCCTGAATAGCTAGTGTTACAAATGGTGAGCTGTTAGCCTCAGGGAGCTCGGAAGTCTCTGCAGTTTTATCCGGGGGTCCTGGTGTTGCCCGCTCTGTGGATGGGTCAGGCTCTGTGGAGATTCCCCACTTAACCCACCGCATCCTGAACACTGGAGGCTGTTGTTCTGGGATCCAAAGCTTCTCCACTGTTGCCTCAGGGCATCCTGACCCAGTGAATTGCCTCCTTTAGAAGCCGTACTTTCCCATCCTCCCAGACTAGCTAATTTACTGCTGATGAAAATAGCTTTAATGGAACTTGGGTCCCAGGAAGGCCACAGCTGGCCTAGAGCATAGAATTCCAGGGTAGAAAGGGCCTCCAGGGGTCTCACACTCACTCCCAACTCTGACTCCAAGGAGACAATCCCCACAGTGGAAATCTGTTAAAACACTGAGTAAAACACTGACGGTTCCTGCTGACATCTGACTAAAGTTTTCTTCCAGTTGTACATTCCCAACCTGCCTGAACGAGGCCTCTAGGCAGCGTCCCATCACCTCTCCCCTCTGCTTTCCTAGCTGAATGTTGATATTCTCAACCTCTATTTTGCTTGTACGAGTCCCGTTTTTCAAACTCAATTTGCTTCTTGCCTCCAGACCCTCTCTGAGGTTTTGTGTTCCCTCCCCCATTCAGGTGGGGGCTGGAGTGGGATACGAGCAGAGGCTGGTCCGCAGTTGGAAAGGGTGCAGCCCAGGTTCTCCTGACTCAGGAAGAGAAGGGGGAAAAGGAAGTCCTTATCCAAGGACGCAGCACACTCTCTTTGGTAATCCAGAGAGACACTTTTGTTTTCTTAGTCACAGAGTGCCCAAGGGGAGCCTCAGAATAAAGGGTGGCAGAGGTGGGAATAAGGACTGGGTTGGGGGAGCCCAAGGGAGGGCTTAGAGTATGGGTGCAGGAGTCAACACCTCAGGACGCGGATGTGCTTGGTAAGACAGGTGACTGGCCCGGAAAGTTGAGATCACGGCCTTACTTCTTTATTTTACCTCGCTAGTGCAGACCTGGTTACTCGCGAGGCCATGGCATCCTGATCATTCATTCAAGAAATATTCACGGCCTAGCTAGGTTAGGAGTTAGAAATAAAATGCGCAGCAAAGCCCTGCAGGAGTTAATAGTTTCGGTGTGGGATTTGCTTCCGTAAGCAGACGGTGAGCCGGCTGCAATGCAGGTAAGTACAGGGCGCCACAGGAAGACAGACGAGGAGCTAGTCACCCACCTGACAGAGGCGAGGAGAGGTTCATGAAAATCTTCCCAGAAGCGGTAATAATTGAGCTGAACTCTGGAGGGTTAAAAGGGGTCAGCCTGTCCAGGAAGCAGGGAAGGGCTTCCAAGAAGGAGTCATTTGCTTAAAGTCCCAGGCTGGGAGAGGAGAGAGTGGACCAGGACAGTGGCAGAGCGGGCTTTATGACTGCAGCTGTGCGTATGAGGAGGAGACTGGGCGTGAGAAATGAGGCCAGGAAGGCAGGCAGGGGCTGGGTCCTGAGGGACATGGGCAAGCTGCTTCCGGGAGATGGACGAAATGAACCTGTGCTCCTTGAAGGAGTTTTCCTGGCTGTGCCCACCAACAGGCAGGCAGTGGTGGCTTCCCTCGGTCAAAGCTGCGTCATCCCTCAGAGCCGAGGCTTGCTAGGCTGAAGTCATGCTGGTGCAGGCAGAGGCAGAGGTTCTTAGCCAGCATGATGGGGCACAGCTATGTAATTCTTAGGTGGTTTGGGGGATGGAGGATTCTTTCCAGACGCTCTGACGCTATCACACCAAAGTCAGGCCTTTCTTCACCTGACAATGGGCACCTGTAGGATGGATGGGGCATAGCAGCCGTGTCTGCAGCTGTATGCCAGTTGCATTTGGTGAAGGGAGCAGGGGGCAACATTGCTCTAAATGCAATAGCTCTGGAAAGGAGGCAGGGTGAGAGGCAGGAGAGGTCATGTCATTGGCATGTCTGTCCTGTCTCCTAAATACTATAGCTCGCTTTACAATCTGCTGGATCTTGCATGTCCAAGGAAGTATGCAACCTCGATGTGATGGTCCGAGAGAATCTTTTTTTTTTTTTTTTTTTTTTTTGAGACGGAGTCTCGCTCTGTCGCCCAGGCTGGAGTGCAGTGGCCGGATCTCAGCTCACTGCAAGCTCCGCCTCCCGGGTTTACACCATTCTCCTGCCTCAGCCTCCCGAGTAGCGGGGACTACAGGCGCCCACCACCTCGCCCGGCTAGTTTTTTGTATTTTTTAGTAGAGACGGGGTTTCACCGTGTTAGCCAGGATGGTCTTGATCTCCTGACCTCGTGATCCACCCGTCTCGGCCTCCCAAAGTGCTGGGATTACAGGCTTGAGCCACCGCGCCCGGCCCGGAGAGAATCTTTTATTGCTACTTCCTATTATTGAGAATTGAAAATGGATCTGACTGGGCAGAGAACGCACCAATCCCATCACATCATCCCTGCCACACATACAACAGTCTGCTGCTCCCTCTTCATGCAAAGTCCTTCTTCTGTTTGGCTGCTGGGGGTTGAGAGAAGCAGCAGCATGGCAGGGACTGTCATTTGCTTTGAACTGATTTGGCTCTGACCTATTGGGGTGGTACCATGGTCTCCCCAAAATCAGACAGAAAGGGAGCAGTGAGGATGAGACCCCTTGGTGGGGAGCTTAATGTGGACTAGCAGCTGGCCTGCATGTCCAGGAACTGGATGGCTCCAAGCCTACTGTCTTCCTCATGGGCAGGGTCTTCTTTAGACCCCCAGAGCTGCAGTCTCGGTGCCTTGCTACTGTCCCGAGTTCCACAGACTGGCGGGACCATGATACATGCCACACTGCACCAGAGTGATCACAGCTGTGGACAATTCTACTAAAACTACTTGCAGGCTGGGCACGGTGGCTCATGCCTGTGATCCCAGCACTTTGGGAGACTGAGGTGGGCGGATCATGAGGTCAGGAGATTGAGACCATAGTGAAACCCCGTCTACTAAAAACACACAAAAAAATTAGCTGGGCGTGGTGTCAGGCGCCTATAGTCCTAGCTACTCGGAAGGCTGAGGCAGGAGAATGGCGTGAACCCGGGAGGTGGAGCTTGCAGTGAGCTGAGATCGCACCACTGCACTCCAGCCTGGGTGACAGAGCGACACTGCATCTCAAAAAAACAAAACGAAACAAAACAAAAACTAAACAAAAAACTACTTGCAACTCAGCCTCCTGTACAATCCTTTTCTCCCTTTTTCTGCCCTTCTTTCACTTCCCTCTCACATTTTGCTAGGCAAAAGGATGACCTCAATTAAGTGCTTCTTCCCTTACCTACTCCTTTAACTCCTCTTTTCCATTCTCCCTCTCAGCTCTCTCTCACCCCGTTCTTCTCGTCCCCATTCCTCTTCCTGTCCTGCAGCCAGCTCTGCCGGGTCGGGGGTCAAGGGAGTGACTAAAGTGCCATGTGTCCTTGTTGGCGGGTTTGACACTTCATTCCCCAAATGCTAACTGGTGCCTCTGCCATCGCGCAGTGCCACCAGTTGCCTTGCCCTGTGGTTTACGTCATGCACTGGGGGCACCTTTCACGTACAATACAGAGTCCACGGCGCCACTAGAGTTGTGCAGCTCAGCCACCTTAGTTTCAGTGTGGCACTCAGAAGCCTCCAAAGCAACAAATCTCTTAGGGGAAAACGGTGCCCTCTTGGTGGAGACCAGGTTCTCAGATGGACATCAAAGTCTGTGAAAAATGGCTCTATGTACCCAAGTCTCCCTGTTATTGTTAACCTGAGGCTCAGAGC